TTTACAAATTACCCATGGGGACCATCTCTATATTTCTTATAGTATGACCTGTAATATGACTATTCCGAATCGTCCTATATTTTGTATACCACGTGACCAAGATATATTGACCGGCTATTCAAAAGATCCCGCGTATATGGCTCTATTGAATGCTCTTTACAGAATTAAATTACCTCGTCTAGTTTAAGAGATATCAAGAAAATCGCACGATTGGAATCACTTGACCGCCCCCTTACCGTATAATAAGGGGCTGCCGACGACTGGGCCGCACAGTACTGGTCCACTCCCGGGCGGGCGTCTGCCGGAGCGCCACAGTTGTGATCGCGTATTTGATGCGCAAACGGCGACAACCCTTTCACGAGGCGCTACAAAGGGTTCGCTCGCGTCGACCGATCATATGTCTGACGCTTGAGTTTATGTCTTAGCTCCGGCTGTTTGAGCGCATGGACTATCGTTTGGACGCCAATAACCGGAAGTTCCGGGAAATGTTGCTCCGACTGTACGCCAATCGTAACGGTCTGGACGCCTATTTCGCGCGCCGGACGATCGCCGAGAATCTGTCTACACGTGTTGAACGCGGCCAACAGTTGGTGTGCATTGAGTGCGGATTTGCGCTCTTCTCGCAGATCCATATCCACAGTAATTACGATGAGATGTATGGGTCGGTCGGGACGTCAGTTATGGCGCCAGCGGTGGCCGTCGAGGGCGAGACTCGGTTCATATATATTGAGCCCCAACTATGGATGTGTGAGCTCTACGCCAGCAACCATTCAAACGGCGCGCTTAAGTGCCGGTGCGATGCGATTGTGGGCGACTACGAGGTTTGGACGCCAGGAACTCAGACTGTGGTCAACCCATTGCCGCCCACTTCCCAACGCAACCAATGCTTTAAGATCCGTGTGTTTGATAAGAGTATTAAATTTGAAAACAACGAGTTATTTATTTTTGAGACCAATAATTAATATAATCGTAAATAGTTTTGTCGTGTAATTTTTTAAAATAAATGTATTAATAATTACATTTATAAAGTTTTATTTAATTATAAAAAGGTACAATAAATTTACAATGCAAATACAATGGTAGTTGACATAATGTTTTAGATAATAACATTTACATAATTTAAACATTTTATTACATTAGCAATACAAATGCATTTTACATTTTTTATTAATTTTATTTTAATTTATTTTAATTTATTTTACATTTACTGTAATTCTTGTATTAATTACTGCATTAATACAAGAATTTGAGTATTAATAATATTAAAAATTTGCAATATTTGTAAAAGGTTGTTCAATATTAATTAATCGTGTTTCTTTTGCGATTCCTCTGGAACTGTTAAAGTGACAATAGTGGAACTTCACATATATATATACTGTATATACTCGATCTATATATATAGATCCACGTCGGGCAATTTTTTCGAATTAATTTAATACAAAAATTCTTGATATTTTCAATATTTCAATTTAAGATATTTTATCTTTGGAATGAAATTTTTCAAAAAGATTTTTCACTAACATTATCAGCATTGAATGCAGTTTTTAAAAATACAATTAATTATATTGAAATATAAAATTATTTGTCGTCCCCATAGGTTAACATGGGGAAATTGGCTAAATAATAAAAACCCAACTAAAACCCTTAAAAATGGCGAAACGACATCTTAAATGAGATATTAATACAGTTAAACGTTAAAAATATTCCATAAGTTCAGTTCTAGTTATAAATTAAATATGTTATAAAATATTTTCCGGCAATATTAGTTTTTTCCTGACATGAATCCATTCCGGTCCGGTCCGGAGCAGATCCATTCTTGTTCCCGTTTTGTTCCGGTAGGCAATGGTAAATTTTTTCCGGTCCGGTCCTGTTCCTGTACCGGATTCCGGATTGTATTTACAAAGATTAATTTGAAATAAATAGAACTTTAAATGTAAGAAATAAAAATAATTATTTAAACATTGATTGCATTTTTACTTTGAATAAAACTTCTTCTCATTGTTTACACGGATTTCAATTGTCTTGAGTTTAGAACTCGAAGACAACACAGCATTCAAATCATTATCCGAGAGATCAATGTCTTGATTGCATTGAATGACAAGCATTTGCAGCGCTGGCAGTCTTGAGAGGTGTGACAAACACTCGGCAGTGATTGTATTCGCTTTGATAGACAGGTACTGAAGTCTTGGCCAAAGTTCGTAACAATTGCTAAACAATTGGTAGTTTATTTGCCGGCAATTGATTGATAAATGCGTTAAACTCTGTCCGGGAATTAATAGATCCAACGTTTGATTACCGACAGACTTAAGACAATTATCATTGAAACGGACCCTTAATTTCAGTTGTTTTAATCGCCGAAACAATGTCAACGAATCCAATGTCTGTCCAATGAGTTCTATGGTCTGAGAGATCAACTCGAGTGACAATACTTTCAATTCATTGCAATTCACAGCAATTGTCGGCAAAAGTCGTTTGACTGTTGGCTAAAAGTATTGAATTCAAGCGTCAATTGTCTTAATTGTGATAATTGTTGGATCAGTTTGGCAATAGTGTCCTGATTTTGACATTGGATTGTTTTTATGGATAGACTTTGCAGCGACTGATTGTATGCCAAGAATGTGACCAACAATATGTTGTTAACGTCTAATAAATATTTGCAATTTAAAAGTAAAAATTGAAAACATATAGTATTTAGTTGTTTTATAGCGTAAATGATGATCATAGGAAGTAATCGGGCTGTGGTTTCTTGGAGGGCACGCCTCGACTCGACTATTCAATTGAAATGCATTTAAATTAACAAAATTGACAATTGATTAGCAAATAATACGGCAAACCTGTTCCGCGGCTTCAAAAATGCAAAAATCTCGGTGAAGATTCTCATCTAATTCGAGAATAGCGGCCACATTACCGCATCGGTAGCAGTAATTGGGTGCCGACCACACCGTCAGTACAGTCTCATTGAAATGCCATTTAAAACCTTCCATAACAAGTTGATGAGCCCTACAAATCATGCCTAAATGATTGGTTGTGTTAAACAGTAAGACAGTGTCCGACCCAAACGCATAAGCGGCACCTCTGGGCGACACTTTCCAGCCCTCGATGTCTTCGGGGTCTGACCACAACAGGTCACACATTGGGCCGCTGTTTGGCACCTCTTGTTTGCGGTCAATCACCCGGATTTGATCCAATGTTTGGATGGATTGACTCAGCCCGCCGTGAACGCACAATATCTGCCATAAATCACCATCAGTTAAAACATGACAATTATTTGTAATAAATAGTATATATTTAGAGTAATATAATTTATATTATATAATATAATAAGAGTAATTATTTCTATTACTGTTTTAAGAATAAAATAACATAAAATATTGTTTAATGATTTAATAAAGTTTAATCATATTCTAATGAATAGACCCGTAGCTGGTGTTAGTGGCGGAACCACTGTTAGCGCCGCCGGAATACCAATTATTATTAGATACAATATAATTTAAATACATGGACTAATACAGCATATAATGAAGTATAATGTTATGCAACCAAACATAAGCATTGTGTAAGAAATGTGAAATAATTTTCAACAAAAGGTAATAAAAAGGGGTTTAAAGAATGATTGAAAGGCATAAACATGTTGTCTGTTGTCTTCATTGCCGTCATCTGTGGTCTCGAGTGATGTCTTCAAGTGTGTCATCTGTTGTGTCATATCTTTGGATCAAATGAAGTGATTGTATGAATAGTTTGACTGAATGTTGAGATGTATAACAATACAGTCAACACTTGTTATGATTTCAACACATATTGTTATTTGCGTTCAATTTATTGACCGTTTTATTTGATTTGTTTTGCATAAATCAGTTATCAGTTCATCACTTCGTACTAAATGTTTAAAAATATATCAATGAAGACATCACTCGAGACCACAGATGACGGCAATGAAGACAACATTCAACACGTATTTCACAAACAATTGACTGTTTATTGAGTTAATTATTTTTTAACTCATTTTAGTTAAAAATCTATGCGAAAGACTCTTTGGATCGTTTTGGTGACGACTTATTCTGTATTTTATTGTCTTATCTCTCACTCGAAGATCGGTTTCGATGCGAATGTGTGTCCAAACAGTTCCAGAGGACAGTCTTCGACAGTGTTTTGATATTTGAATTTAAGTTTGAAGTCTTTAACAAAATTTATAAAATAAAGGAAACTATGACTCAAACGATGGAAACATTTGCCATAAAGTGTCCAAACATTGAGACCATTGACTGTCGAGGAATGATATTAAACGAACAAACTTTCATACTATTGGACACACTTCGAGACAATTGTCAACATTTACGGGAAATATACGTCAGATTTGGATCAACTAGTGATGAATGGACACAACTCTTACAACCACTCATCACAAGAATGATCATTGATTGGCAATCAGATCCCAAAGAGTCGATCATTAATAACCACCGATTATCTCATTTATCGATCTCTTCTATCGACAAAGTCTTTGACAACACTTCCGGACAATTGATGGCAAAGAATTTGTTGACATTTGAGTTCACATTTAAAGGCAATGACATTAATAGCCAATTGTTGTCCCGATTCGTGGCCGACAATCAGTCCCTCAGATGTCTTGTAGTGAATACAATCATATTCTTAGGTCAAAACAGTGTTCGCATATTCGCCGACCAATTGTCACGATTAACACAATTACGGGAATTAACACTCGATTTATGGCATTACGACAACTCATTGGCCGACTCTTTGCGTACAATTGGCGTGAATTGCAAACAATTGAAACGATTGTCACTCGTATTGAAGACTAATGAAGGACTCGGAGTCCAGACATTGGATTCGTTGCAATCGTTTCGGCGTTTAAAACGATTGGATTTAACGCTCGGTTCAAATCAGTACTGGTTTTGGGGCAGAAGTCGGCAAAAGTTTAATATATCGGTTCCCGGACTAAAAATAATGCATTTGTCGCTTAATTTGCAACAAATTGTTTGCAATTTGTTAAACAATTATCAAAACCATTCGCCACTTCTTCAATGCCTGTCCAATGGATGTCAAAATTATGGCACAGAGTGTTTGTCACACCTCTCAAGACTACCGGCGCTGCAAACGCTTGTTATTCATTGCAATCTAAGCGATGATCTCTCAGAAGAATGATATGAATGCTGTGTTGTCTTCGAGTCCTAAACTCAAGACAATTGTAACTCTATTACTGTTTTAAGAATAAAATAACAAATATTGTTAATATTGTTTAATAATTTAATAAAGTTATAAACTAACACATATTCTAACAGTAAGAGTAAAAAGGTATTTAAAATCTAAAAAATTCTAACGTATTATTATTTATATTTATACTATTTATTTATATTAGTTATTTAAAATCACTAAACATTTAAACTATTTTTATGTAAAAATAATATTTCCACAATAATAATCAGGAGAAAATAGAACATGATGTTTTACAGCAGGTTATATTTGGTTAAATAGCTAACAACTTAATTGACTTTAAAATAACTACTTTAATCAATATATAAATAGCATTAACTGATACAACATTTTCAATAAAATTAAAACATAGTTGTATGACACAAATGCTACACTACTTTCTATGCACATAAACTTTGCCTTACTAAAACTTTGTTATTTGTTGTTTATTAAATTTTTCAGCATAAATAATGTTATAAATAATGTAATAAATGTTCGCATAAATTGTATACTATCTGCAAAACTATTAAATCGTTTATTAATGAATATATTGATGTTATAAGAAAATGATTGCTCAATAATTAGTGATTTGAATGTTTGGACACTTTATGACAATTATGCATATTAATAATATACTGTAATATGATATTATGTATCTATCATTAATTATTTTTCACTATAATTAAGTGAGAATAATATTAATAAAGTATGAATACTGGGTAATATTTTTTAGTTTAGGACTTCTGGACAACAGATCTGAGAAATCATTATACGAGAGATCATAACTTTCAGTGACTTTAATGACAAGCATTTGAAGCGCCGGTAGTCTTGAGGTGCGATCCAAACACTCGCGAGTCATAGCATTAGATTTGATGGACAGGTCTTGAAGTCGAGGTTTATGTTTGTATGGATTGCATATAAGCACTAATTTGTCACTCATTTCCGTTATATTAAGTGATAAATGTGTTAATCGCTTGCAGTTTACCAATGGGTCCAACACTGCCCTATCGGCAGTCGCTTTGAGTGTTAAACGCAATCGTTTTAAACTGTGATAATATCTCAACGAATCCAATGTCTGAACATTGAGTGGTGTGTTGTTTGACGTAAAGTGAAGTGTCAATCGTTGCAATTGTTTGCAGTTTAAGCCAATTGTACGCAAATTACAACAGAGAATGAGTTCTCGCCATTCTTTTCGTACAATTCGAGTCTCAATTCCGGGAATTGTGTTAATTGTCCGCAAATTTAATTTAGTGTTTCTAGAGTTTTAATACTAGCCCTAAAACTAAGACTTTTTAGTGACTGATTGTGTGCCACAAATACAGACAACTGTTGGTTATAATTATCGGTAAAAAACAGTAAAATGAAAATTTTTGCAAATGTTTTGCCATTAGTTGTCCGGAAGTGCTGTCAAAGACATCATTCAGAGACCAGACATTTAATTGTGACAATCGGTGGAACGGAATGAGTGATGGTTTCTCTTCTAAGTACCAAATGTCGAGTTCTGTGACCAACGATCCAAACGATGGCAACAATTTGGAGCTATTCCTCCGTATATTGATGTAAATAACATGTTTTGTAACCAAATGCAAGATTGCGTATAAATAAGTTAAAACAAAAGGTAATAATTAGTGTTTTATTTAAACACTATTTGCTATAACTCTAAAGTGAAGGAACACTCAAACAATGTCTACTTTTTTTTATTAAAATGTTAAAAATATCATATTTTTGAGATGACATTAAAAGTTTATTCATAAATTTTAATTAATAACAAATAATCGGAAATTAAAACGACTAAAAGTCCAAAAACTACTTCATATAATAGAAATCATTGTCTTGTGCGCTGTCCAGCGCCTCCTTATCCACAACGTTCCCATCGGTGTCGTAGACTATCGCTCTCTCCAGCCGTTCGGCGATCCAACGCTGAATGAGCGCCACGTCGTGGTCGTTGGCAAAAGACATCACATCCTGTATCATATCGGCGTCCTCTTCGGTGGCACAGCTGTCGTCCAGTTTCCTCAGGAACGGGTGCACCACGTCTTCGAGATTCTTATCACTCAATTTGTTATCTTCCACACCGATAGCGGGCGCTGACCAGTCTTCGACAGCGGGCCATACGGTGCCTAACGGGTCGCCCATCGCTACCTCAACGGATCCGATCTTCGGTTCCGTGTCCTCCGCCGCCATTGAGTCGTTGGCCACACAATCTATGATCTCGAGTGATGTCATTAAAAGTGTTATCTGTTGTGTTATATCTTGGGATCAAATGAAGTGATTGTTTGAATGAAAAACTAGATTCACATCTCACACAGCGATGCTGTCGACAAGTATTTCATTTGTATTTAAATATTAATACCTTTAATGAGTGATCCGAATGTGGAAAATAAGTCACTGTTTTTAGACGTTAAATGGCAATAAATATGTTGTAAATTACAGCAATTGTCACGAAATATGCTTAATATCTGAAGAATACGTTCATTTGGTGTGAATATCATTCTTCGACAGTCAATGCACTGAATCTTTCGACACTTTATGGCAATTGATATAAACAAATGTTTTAGAGTTGTCTTTCGTTTCTTTGCTTTATTCATAAGTTTGTCATCAATAGTGATGTCCACAACACTCCCGAAGACTGTCCTCTGGAACTGTTTGGACACACATTCGTAACGGAATCGGTCTTCAAATGTAAGATAAGACAACAGCATTTCTGACAAATGATCGCCAAATCTGTCCATTGAGTTCTTCGCATACTTTTGTATTTCAATATTGAAACAAATAATTAAAACTCAATAAACAGTGAATTGTTTGTGAAATACCTGTTGAATGTTGTCTTCATTGCTGTCATCTCTAGACTCGAGTGATGTCTTTGTTGTTGTCATCTGTTGTGTCATATCTTGGGATCAAATGAAGTGATGATTTTTAGATTGGTTTAAATAATAGGTTTATTAAAAGCAGTCAAATGTCACAAAATGTTATAATTCTTTACTATATACCAAGTTTTGCAACCATTACATCATAACTACATTTCAGACATTATATATAAGTTTTAAACAATATTGAGTATTATTTATTACAATACGATATGAAATAACTTTTTATAATAGAACTAATACTTCGGTTTATATTACATAATAAAAGATAACCTGTTATATAAACAAGCATTGCATCAGAAAATGTGAAATATTTTTGAATAAAGGGTAATAAAAAGATTTGTAAATATTTTTAAGCGCAGAATCGGTTATGAATGGCGAGAGAGAGAGAGAGAGAAAGAGA